CTGATGACTATAAAGTTTCATAAATAATTCGCTCTCCTCTGTATGACTTACCAACAACAACACCAGAAGCGATCCGGCAGCAGATTCAGCAGCGCAGGAATGGTGACAGCAAAATAGAGAGGGGGTTTTCCCAAGGGTTCGTAGAGGAGGAGGTCTCTGAGACGAGTAACCGCTCGACACCTCTGCGCTCATAGGTCCTCAGCCCCGAGCACCGGTCACTCACTAGCTTGATACAAAATTCCTCCTACTTTTCTCCAGTTCTTACACAATTTTCAGAATGCCACTTTTAGTGTTTATTACATAAATTTGTTCACATGAAAGCATTTTCAAATTGTGTATAAGCATATTTCATAATGAATTGATCTTAATCGCTTTCCTTGTGAAATTCTGAATACTTTTGAGATGGCTTTGTGCTTAAGATAATTTGTCAACATAAATACAAATAAATTCATACAGCACAGACAAACTTTTTTTCGTGCTGATGTGATTGGTCATTACGTACTTTCCCATGTTGAGAATATTTTCATGAATTAATTGAAAAGGGGGGAAATAATTCTTTGACTATTAGTGAGTCCAAGAATATTAACCTATTTATTTACATAAATGGTGACCAAAAGACTCATTTCTGTGTCACGGAGAATTTAAAATATTAATTTTGAGTGGGGAGATGGATCAACTTTCCTAAACAAATCGAACACAAAGAGTACTGGTCAACAGAGTTAAATCGGAGGCTGCCATAGTGAAGAGCTCTTTTCCCACAAGGCACCCATTTATTCCTCCCCTCATATCAGACATAGACAGAAATATACATCACAGCACCGTATCATCCTTTGCGGATGATAATGGGATCTGCATGAGGCTGTCATCTGTGAGGACGCGGTTAACCTCCAAGAAGATAAAACAAAGTTTTCCAGTGGGGCAACGGTAAACAATATGTGTTCAATGAGGACAAATTCCAACTACTCCGTTATTGAAAACTGGAGGAGTTTAATAACTGAACAGAGTATACTATAGACTCTGGCCATACAATAGAGCGGAAAAATAATGGTAAGGGACTGGGAGTAGTAATGTTGAGGATCTTACTTTCAAGGATCACAACAGTGCCACGATCGCACGTGCAAAGAAAATGATAGGGGTGGATAATGAGGGAAAATTCCAAAGAGAGATGCCAAGCCCACTTGTTCTCTCTAGGCTGGAATACTGCCCGTACATTAAAATCTCCATTCAAAGCAGGTGAAATCGCAGATCTAGAGAGTGTATAGAGATCCTTTACTGCACGTAAGTTCTGTCAAGCACTTAACTACTTTGAAAGCTTGAAGCACTTGACTTGTACTCGTTGGGGAAAGCAGGAGGGAGAGATATATCATAATTACACTTGGAAAATCCTGGAAGGAATGGTCCCAAATCTGCACACAGATTCACTCCCTACGAAAAGTAAAAGACTGGGCAGGCGATGCAAAAGCCCCAATTAAAAGTAGGGGCGCCATTGGTACACTAAGGGAAAAACACCACAAGTGTCCGGGGCCCAAGATTGTTCAAACAGCCCTCCCATCAAGCATTCGGGGAATTGCCAATAAACCCCTGGCTGCCTTCAAGAGGGGAGCTGGACAGGGTACCTAAAGTCAGTGCGGATCAGCCGGGCTGTGGCTCGTACGTTTTACTGCGTGCGGCCAGCAGTAACAGCACTAGTTGATCAGGCCTGATCCCTCGGGAGGCCTGGTCATGGACCGGGCCCCGGGGGCGTTTTATCCCCAGAATAATCTCCAGGTAACCTCCAGGTAACCTCCAGGTAAATGTTTGTCACATTTTTATATTCATGTGCTATAATTCAACTAAGGCAAAACGTCCGAAACGTTTTACAGCTGCAGTCTTCTGAGAATTCATCTCACACTTTATACACGAAGATTTCACCTGAATATCGCTGTTTATGTTAATCACACCTATAGTTTCACCTAGCAAGAGACATACCCGAATACTTACATTTTCATTATCTATTATGAGATTGTCATTCTCTACCCCCATCACTTCTAAAGTTGTATAATACAATGCATTGGCATTAGTAGGGCATTTGTCAGTAATGTTTACTGGAAAAATAATGGGTTTAGTATTATTCAGATGAAGCTGCAATGTCCACGAGAATCATGTAAGATTTATCCGGGATGTCATTTGCCCAGGCAATTTCCAAAACCAAGTGCAAGTGAATTTGGTTAGTTTCGAAAAATGTAGGATTTAGATAGAGTGTGTCAACCTGTAAATATGTCAGGCAGTAAATTGGTTGACATATTCAGAATTAAAGCAAAAAGCACATTTTTATAGGGACTCACCTTATTCACCTTTAATTTGATCAAATTAATTCTTAACAGGATTATGCGAGGGATAACCCAGGTGGGTCGTGCTAATTCGTGTCACAGTCTCCGTTCAACATTGCCAATGACGCATTGGTGTAAGATGTTACTCTCTAACAGCTTATAAAACGCATCTTCCTCTATATTTTACCAGTAAAATAGCAACGATCGAATCATTCTTCGACATTTATTCGGCTAGGAAAATGCACGTCTTCATTGTTGAAGATTTAAGGGTTTAGGTGCAGAGACTGATATTGTCCAATGATATTTAAGAGCATCGGCAAATTAGATGGCAATAAAATTTCATCAGAACAAAATTTTGAGCAGAGAACGATTACATAATGTCTCATTAAATATAACACTCAAAATTATGAATAATTCAGTTTATAGAATACTTTTGCTTGATGTTAACAAGTATGCAGAAACCTATAAATACATTTCAGATAAATAAATATTTAGTAAAGCTTCCCGAGATCTTTTCTGTAAGATGTGACACATTTAGGTCAAGACAGAGACAGCTGAATATCAAAGGTATAATACATTCAAACTAGTACATGAATAAGATACAATATGAAATTTATGTCATTTCCCTAGAAGAAACGTTCTTCTCAGTAAAAGCCATGAATTTCATATTCTGTCTGATTCACATTGAGGCATTTGTACATTCATTATAAAAATGATTGCAAACCACCTTCTCTACTATGGCTTCCAAACTGTTGGGATTGCTAAGAGCAAATTGCACTACTTTTAGTGCAAGGTTTTGTAGGCACATTGTTGCGATGACGTTAAGTTGCTACACAGTGTTACTGATATCAACATATTATGAACATGCTAGTTTTACACTTAGCAAGAAACATTTAAAGCTATTATTTGAACTACATCCTCAAATTACTTTGGTTTAAACTTTAAACTGAAGGACAGAATCCTTACACCTTTACGCTCAGATCCTGTTTATAAATATAAATGTCCCATTTTATAGTTTAGGTATATTGGTATAAAGTGTAGGGAGAATTAGGCTTGTTGAGATTAGAAAGGGTTCTCGTAATATTAGTGAGCTCATAGCTTTGAAACCTAAGCTTTGTTTTGTAAAGATAGCAGGACAAATAAAGAAGTCATGTAGAGCGAAGATCCGTTATATTTCTCACCACTGGTGACCCCACAGTAAGTTTAAGTGGAACTTATATAGTTCAGATATGGAAACATTGAAGAGGAGGAGCGCAAGTAATGTTAAGTTTTGACGATGAAAGGTATGTTATAAATATAAAGAGCAGCGACGTTTCGGTCCGACTTGGACCATTCACAAAGTCACAGTGTTTGTAAATGGTCTAAGTCGAATCGAAACGTCGTTATGTTCCTCTTTCCTACTCGCGGGTTATGTGTGTATTGTCATATATATAGATTATTAATGCAAGGTCACCATATGATACAGAGAGTAAATTGAATGATCTCCTTCATGCATTTATTGTATATAAAGATTTTCTGAATAATTTATATAATTTACGCAATAAGATCATAGTACACACGTGATTCCACAATATGTAGAACAACCACTGTGAAAAAATAGTGAAATTCCAAGCACTTTCGTGATTTCTCACGAATCGGTCTGTTGCTTCACTGCCACAAATACACCTGTGTTCGGAGAGAATAGGGGCGGCAAGTCGAAGGGCAACACCAATGCGGATGGTCTGTGGGTCGAGACTTGTGCCAAGGCCGGAGTTGGGAAGAGCCAACAGGAAGTCCCCTGCATGATGAGCTCTCACTGCCAGCAGGCGGGATCTATCCTTCCCCGACACACTCTGAAGCACTGTTGAGGCTATGTTCTTCACTACTGGGCCATCCCAGTGTGACTGGCTGTAGTTGTTGGGGGAGCAGGACTGGTTTCAGAGCTCGTTAGATTATCCAGATCCTGGCCCCGTCAATGAACTTTTGGTCATGAACTACAATCTTGTCCCTAAGATGTTTAGGGAGAATCGCTGCTACAAGCCCTCTGGATGCGACGCATGAGGACAAAAAGCAGGTAGCGCAATCTGTGATGACTTGCGGACACAATACCTCCTAGTCTGATAGGAAGTGTAGCTTGGTCCCATTGCCCATCTTCTTGAGTTAGGTTAAGTACTTTCGTAAAAATCTGCCTCAGGATACTGTCATATTCATGCAGTATAGGGTTATCATATGAAGGGGCACATCTTAAGAAATATGTCATCCTGGCAGACTCAAACACTGTGAGAAAGTACAAGGCATCGTGGGTATCAAAAATGCCTATTCGTTGTTCCATTCCCCCTCAACGCTTCCCCGTTTCTTCCTGAGAATTGTGTCAATGGCATCGCTCCCTGAGGTGTTCCAAGCAAAACGCTATTTGTGGGGGCCCAAAGACTGATGCTCTGATAGTTTTGATCTTACTGTTTCTATCACTTGTTGATTGACTTAGATGATTTCACCTTTTGGATGGATTCAGGATGAGACCCATTTCTTGTCCCCGTGTCATCACCCGTGTAAGATCATCTAGAAGGGATTCTTAGTACATGCTAGTGTACTATCATCTAGGAGCCAGATATTTAGCCATCATCTAGGAACCAGCATCTTGTGTTGATCATAAACCTAAACTTCCCTGAGACTCTTCGAGCATGAGAGTCTAGAGCAAAGCAAACTAACCTGTAGACCACCCGCATCGTCTTGAAAGAGGAAGGTTAGTGTGCCAAAGTCGGAGTGGGCGGCGAAGCGGGTGATTCCTTGAGGCACAGTGTCAGGCACGGGCGGGTAGTGGTTTACACGAAGGCAGGTGAGGCCCTTCTCTGTGCCCAGCTCCCGGTGCATGCTGATGAAGTACTCTTTCTCTCTGCCTGTGTGGAAGAAAAATCTTTGCTATATCCAAACTACCAACATTAGCTAGTCACATGTGTGACTAGCTACTGTTCTAAGTCCGACCGAAACGTTGTCATAAGTTTCACTCTCCTATGGCTAGCTGGTTGGTTAAGAGCGTTTAAAGCCCATCGACTGCACTAGTGTCATTATGGCTGCACGTAACTTCTACACCACAAGCCAAAGCACTTTAATTCCTAAGATTGGGACTAAACTAAACTCTCATCATATAACCACTTAGACAAATACATCTAAATGCTTAGCATTTCGAACTCTGAGTTTGCTCGTTGTCTTACCAATGTACCGAGGCTTACATATTGTACAGGCATACTTATATGCAAAAGAAGACTGTAGGCGTGGAGAACACTGTGGACAGTATTCCGGAAGTAACTTAGTAAACCTGTTACTAATATTGTAACTATTAATTCCAATAAATGGTAGGTAATTTACAATTTTTTTTATTGCATAAGTTAATTTCATATTAGGATACTGATTATTTAAGTAATCAAAGAATAATTGGACATGTTCAGGAGACCTGAAAACTAAAAATGTATATTTTGCGTATCTCCGATACAACAGGTGTTTGGACAAGACACCACTCTCACGAGCCCTCCGAGGGCGGGGAAGGTGCCAGAGCCAGAGCTTGCTACCACCCGCAGCTCACATGTTACTTGTAAATGTTACACAATTTAAAACTTTTTCTTTTCTAAAGAACTGTTCAATATTTAATTATTTCATTGTACTATATCTTCCTTGTACGTGGAATCTTTGTTTACTAATATTCCTCTAGTTGACACGATGAAATAATATGAGCAAGTCAACTATTCCAGGACCACTTCTATGAATTGTCGTCCATTATGAGTAAGTGATTGATTGCTTCTTTTGTTTTTCCTAGCAAAAATACTCCCTCTGAACGTGTTTGCTATATATATATATATATATATATATATATATATATATATATATATATATAAATATATATATATATATATATAATATATATATATATAGATAGATAGATAGATAATGTCGTGCCTAATAGGTAAAACTTGTGATTTTTGGGGCATAAGGCAAGTGAAAATTTGTGTATGCAATATTTTCGCAAAAATCATTCTGAACCTAACGAAAAAATATATTTCGTTGTGTTTGTTTATTATTAAATTACTGTAAACTTATGTAAAATATATTTAGTTGGATTAGACTAAATTAAACTGCGCTTCTTGTAATAAGGTTAGGTAAGTTTTCTAAGGTGCTTTTCGTGCATAATTATTATTTTCTACTTTATCATAAATGATAAAAAAAATATATCTTTAAACGTATAAGAGAAAATTTTAGAATGGACTTAATTTCAAATGAGTTCTTGCTAATTGACCAGTTTTACCTATTCGGCACGACATATAAATATACATGTCGTGCTGAATAGATAAAACTGGTCAATCAGCAAAAACTCATTTAAGTTTAAATTCTTTCTAAAAATTTCTCTTATATGTTTAAAAATATATTTTTTTTAATTTATGTTAATGTAAAAATTCATATTTTTGTGCAAGAAGAACCTTAGAAAACTTACCTAACCTTATTATAACAAGCGCAATTTTGCTAATCCCAAGTAAATAAACTTTTGATAAGTTTACAATAATTAAATAGCAAATAAACACAACGAAATATATTTTTCTCGTTAGGTTTAGAATGATTTTGCGAAATTATTGCATACACAAGTTTTTTGCTTGCTTTATTCAGTAAGAAGAGAATGCTATTTAAGCCAAAGCGTAAGTCTTACCTATTCCTCGCTGCATTATATATATATATATATATATATATATATAAAAAATATATTTAATATATATATATATATAATAATAGAGAGGAGAGAGAGAGAGAGAGAGAGAGAGAGAGGACCCCAAATCTGCAATCAAATTAACATCCACCAGGACTCTGACACACATCCCAAAGCAGCTCGCCCTCAAGCTGCTAGCAAATTCACTGGGCCTTCTGAAAAAAGTCAACGATGCTCCTTTCAAACAACAGATCCTGGCACAACTTGCTGCTTTTTGGCAATGCCTGTTTGGCTGTCCCACCAAGGAGGGACAAGTCACTAGCAACACATGTTATTAGGGCAATAAATGCATTTCAAGGGATGAAAACCCGTCCGTCTCCCCCCTAGGGCGACAAACACCCGCCGGGCAAATGCCAACAACAGGACACCCGACACCTCAAAAATCAGAGCCCAAATTAGCAAAAAAATAGAAGAGGGTAATACTATTGGAGCTTTGAGACTTATAACCAGTGAGGATACCATCGCTCCCAAGGACGTCAGCACGGCGCAAGCTCTGAAGGACAAACATCCACCCTGGGCTCCCCAGTACCAACATTGACCTCCCTGACATTGCAGCAGGAGTAGAACATCTAACCTTACAGGATGCTGATATGTATAAAGCTGCTATGTCATTTCCACAGGGTTCAGCAGGAGGTTTCACCGGTTTAAGGCCTCAACACTTAAAACAAATACTCAATCCAGCACTTGGTGAGGTTTCAGAGAGGCTGCTGTCTGAACTCAACCAAATTTTCCAAACCTGTGCCTGGCTGGCGGTGTTCCAGAGGCCATCAGACCCTTTTTCTTTGGTGCCTCATTGTGTGCCCTCCGGAAAAAGGATGGGGGAAATTTCAGGCCCATTGCAGTGGGTAACACCCTTCGGCGCCTAGTCGCCAAGGCTGCAGTAAGAAGGGTGAGTCAAGAGGCTGCTGCAATGCTGAAACCAACTCAGCTCGGTTTCGGCGTTCAACAGGGCTGGTGAAGCAGCTGCCCATGCAGCACGAGTATATATCAAAAACATGTCCTATGAAAAAGCCTTGGTCAAATTGGACTTTGCCAATGCTTTCAACTCAGTCAGAAGGGATGCTGCTCTCCAAGCAGTTTATAGAAACTTCCCTTCCCTTTATCCCTTCATTGAATCGTGTTTATAGTGTGGCTTCCAAACTATTGTTTGGGGACCATGAAATTGACTCGTGTGAGGGCGTGCAACAGGGGGACCCTCTCGCCCCCTTTCTATTTGTTTGGTCATCAAGGAAGTCACGGAGGCACTCTCCAGTGAGCTCAGTATCTGGTTCCTGGACGATGGTACCCTAGCTGGCACAACAGAATCTCTCCTAGAGGACATCAGTAAAATTAAAGACATGGGAGAAAGCCTGAGCCTTTCTTTAAACCCCACCAAATGTGAAATAGTTTCTACCAATCAACAGATGATCCAGAATATTAGTGCCGTTTTACCAGGAGCACGAGCCATTGATCCAGCCAATACCCACTCTCCTCGGTGCTCCACTTGGGTCCAATGCCATCGATCTGATCCTAGGAAAAAAAGTCTCAGACCTCCGGACGATGGAAAGCAGGATGAAAGACATTGACACACACGATGCCTTCTACCTACTCACCAGGTGCCTGTCAATCCAAAACTTACCTATTTTCTGAGATGCTCCCCAGCCTTCAGCAGTCCAAAACTCAAGGAATATGACTCTCTCCTGAAAGCCATGCTAGAGAGTGTATTGAATCTTTCCCTTGACGATGGACAGTGGTTGCAAGCCTCACTTCCGGTCAGGCTTGGAGGGCTAGGAGTACGCAGACCCTCCCAGATTGCTCTACCAGCTTTCCTGTCCTCTTCCATTGCATCAAACGAGTTGACAAGACAAATTCTTCCTGACACCCTCAGTGACTCAGCAGGAATAGAAGACCCTAGCTATGCCAGTGCCATCACCGAATGGGAGACTCTTGCTGCTCCAGCACCAAACCCTAGTGCAGCACTGGCTCACAAACAGTCAAGCTGGGATGGCCCAATTGCTGAAAAGGTGCTTGCCAACATGCTCAGGGCTGCAACATCAGATAGGGAGATTGCCCGTCTCCAGGCTGTGAGTGCACCTCACTCCGGGGACTTCCTCCAAACAGTTCCCATATCGGCAATGGGAACGCGACTCGACCCTAAGACCCTCCGTATTGCAGTGGCTCTGCGCCTTGCTGCCCCAATTCACACAGAATATATGTGTATTTGCGGCGAAGTGCAAGCAGACCAATACGGTCTACATGGTCTTAACTGTTCCAAAACCAAGGGCTGGCATGCAAGACACAATGAGGTCAACGACATCATTAAGAGAACCCCTTTCTACAGCTGGATGCCCTGCCGAGAGGGAGCCACGATCCCTTGCAGCAAACAATACCCACAACCCAGCAAACCGCCTCGACGGGATCACCATCTATCCTTGGAAGAATGGCAAGCTCTTAGCATGGGACTATACCTGTGTGTCCACATGGCTGACACCTATATCCATCACAGTGTGGGGCGACAGGGAGGAGCTGCTGACCACAGGGAGGAGTACAAGATCAGCAAGTACAGGGACATTAGCCAACAGTATCAATTTATCCCAGTGGGATCAGAGACCTTGGGATCATGGGGAAAAAATGCCACACGTTTCCTTAAAGAATTGGGTTCCAGACTCATCGACACCAACCAGGGACCCCAAGGGCAGCCACTTTCATGTTCCAGCGCTTCAGCGTCGCCATCCAGAGGGGAAATGCTTGCTGCATACTTGGCTCACGTCCAGCCTCGGAGGAGCTGGAGGAAATTCATGAAACTTTGATACATTGTGCCATTGTATTCATGTTTATGTTTTTTTCTGTTTAAAAGTATTTGTTTATTAATAAATGTTCACATATAATAAAAAATATATAGGGGGTGGTAGGAGAAGAAAATATTCAAACAGCTCCGGGGAGAACCTTGAGTTTTCCCTGAGGTACGTTTATTGTCTTCTTGAGGATGAGGGTCCCCATTCCAGCTATAGAGGTGGTACTTCCCTATATATATATATATATATAATTTTAATATTTTATATATATATATATATATATTATATATATATATATATATATATATATTTTATATATATAAATTTTATATATATAGAGAGAGAGAGAGAAAAGGAGAGAGAGAGAGAGAGAGAGAGAGTGTGCAAACAATCGCAGACGGGCGATCTTTATGTAGGACAAGCCACTGTTAATGTTTGAGTAGAAATGTGTTCATTTCTGCTCATGTATGGGTACTTAGAAGTGTACATATGTGCACATGTACTTGTGTGTGCATCAACATATTTAGAGTGTTGAAGTGTATGGGTGTGCGTGTATAAATGTACGTGTATGTACTGAGTGTGCGTGTACATATTTGGTTGTTTCTGTTCACCGAGTTTGACTCATTTACTGACAGTTATTGTTCTTGATTCACTCAACCAACACAATTATTGTTTTTCTTTTGTCTGCGCTAGACAATGACTATAACGGAAGTATAGTTAGGATCCACCACATATAATAACTCTGTCTGGACCGAGTGTTTGATGTGAAGGTCATAACTGATCTTTGCGAAACTTGCTGATTTTTAATGTCGAATTAACTAACAGTATTTTTAGGCACTGTGCGGCTCGTGCTTAGTGGAGTGAGCATCGAACCTTCACTACCTCTTTCCTGGATGAATTTTCCTGTTGAAAATTAATGAAACAAACTATGTGGACCGTACCAAGACTGAGTGCTGTGGCCGCCATTACTCTGATGGCGAGGGATTTGCAGGACTGGATGAGGGAGATGAGGGCGGATCTGAAGGAGGGGACTTCTGCATCAGGCAACTCCTCCTCAGCAGTCTTGACAAGGAATCCCTCGTTCAGCTCCTCGTCGTGGATCCTGGCGGTATTGTCCAATATTTATAAATGTAACTCTAAAGATTATTATTATATTAAAGTGAAGTGCTATACCCGTTTGGGTTACTCAGCATAGCAAAGTATAACTACGAGGAGTAATGCTGACTAAGATTTTAGAAAATGAAGTAACAGCATGCAAAGAGGAGCAAATGTGAAAACACTCGGTAAAAACGTAGCAAAGTATAAATAAAATAAAATTTGTTAATTCGTACCTTCCCACTAATCAAAATAATCATAAGTAAAACATTAAGCTAATTAATGCAAGATTATGCAGAGGGCTCAGCCAGAACCGCTTACTGTTCTCAGTCTCTCCCCTCGTACCCTACGGCTCCTGCAGCACATCCACTTCTTTCCCTCCTCCTTCAAGTCTTATAGCTCCTATTAGCACTCACGTAATGTTCCCTTCACCCTCTTCCTCCCGCTACATTAATATAGCTCCTGACAGTACTCACTGTTCTCTGTCTCCGCTAATGAAGCCAGAGTTGGTCTCCAGATTATATGCAAACTGGTCCTTTATATTCCTGTCCAGGGAGAAGAAGTCCATACCTGAAGAGAGTAAACGACTCACCTGAAAGAAAGAAAATGCGTGAGAATACTGGGGAAACACTCAGAAAATAAGACCTTACAATGACTATTGATGTTATCAGACAGGAAAGCAGACTTTTCGTCAAGCTACTGATATCTGTATCTAGATAGGTGAGGTTAAGATATTATAATAGAAGGCTCTCGCCCTACCTTCCAGCAGCACTGCCAACATGAAAAGCTGGATAAAGTTTATATGTTGTATTTAAAAAGTGCATGGATATAAAACAGAAATGGCAAGTTTGGACTTCTTATTATTACCGCTGCTGCTATTACTGTGTTTTATATGATACAAGTAAATTAAGGACATTTCTTCAGAATTTCTGTTATCTTATTTCTATTAAGCACATGCATTCAGAAACCTTTAAAAGCAGTTAAAGCCGATCCTAAATCTAGCTACCACAACTGTGCTTGTCTACATTCATATTAACATAACATGTAATAAATCAACTAAGGCTTTCCGTCCTTTTTATTACCTTTCAGTTATTGTTTTACTCTCCTAATATGGTACGTTCTATCCTAATAGTTTTTTAATGCTTTACAAAGAATATATTAGACATTATCCTTCAAGGTATTTTCTTTGGCAATTTCATCAGAGTTATTATGTACGAATAAGTCAAAAGATGATGGTTTCTTATAAGATATATACTCCGGATTCTTGCGCTATTTTATCCCTAGACTTTCACATGTCAATAATTGTCAAGGTGTTTAAGAACATTAATATAACCTAACTTTAGTGTTATCACGAGAACAAGCAATTCACTTTTTTAATATGGAAATCCAATTGTTACTTTCCATGAATAACACAACATGATTAATGTGTTTACCCAAGTACATGGCAACGAGAGCAGTTGCTACACTGCCAGAGGACTCAAGTTATGTACTATCACGTATATAACTGTTCACCTTTGCTGACTGACTTAGTCAACAGATTTTTTTCGTTTGGAGATGCCCCTCCCCAAACCCCTTTTCTCTCTTTTCTCTCTC